CGATATAACGGAGTTTGATCATTAGGCAATTGAAACATTTGGTACAGCAGCAGTGGATGGATTGCCTGAACTGGGAAATATGGGTTTTGAGGTGATTAACATTTTCATATTTCCACGCTGTATTGATTATTAACTTTCTTGGTTTATTTAAATTAGGAAAGCTCAAGTTTGCAAGATGTGGTGGTGGTTAGTGGCGCTGAGGACAACATTGCATTTTCCTCTGATGTGATAATGACACCACTTTCCATAAACATATCAAATGAGAATTCAAATTTGTCCTCAGGATCGCAGACCCACACAACAGCGGAATGGGCTTGCAATTGCTCAGCAGGGGGCATTGACTATAGCAATTACAAAATTAACACAAACCTTAGATAGGTTTTGTGAAAATTTGAATAAAACGTAAACGTAAAAACAATTCTGTCAACTTATGTATACGTTTTAGAATTATACTTGTTTAGTTGTTAATAATTTCTCTAAAATAAAAACATCATTAATTTAAAGATGTAGAAAGAACAATTTTTTGTGTATTGGCTGTAAATTTTACATTTGCAGGTATAAATACATAAGTCGGATTTGAAATTTTTTACTCATCAAATGAGTTCTTACCTGCGAAGTTGTCTATATCCCCGAATCGTGGCAGGATCCTGGAAACTTAGCGTTTACGGATGTGAAAATCAAACGATGGTTGCACACCTGAAAAGGGAAAGAGTTTTATGTTAGTATTTAATGTACCCTAAATTCACATATACACATGAATGTATGTATTCAAATGCAATAATTACTGCTCCGACATTTATGCTGTAATATCCTTTTCTGTTCATGTACAGTGATGTAGGATTTCTGCTGTCCCTTGAAGATGTGAAATTATGCCAATGTGAGTGCAGTCAATAGCCCCAATTGTACCTTTGATTCCATATGCTTGATAAAACCTACAATATAAATAATGTCATTATTTTTACCGTTGGTATATACCGTGTACCACTAAAGTGGTAGTACAGGGAACTTTTCGCAAAGTATGCAAAGTGTTTTTTCTAATTTTTCCCCCTATTTTTATATAAAGATGTAGTTTATAATACAACAAAAAGCATAAAAATAAAATTTTAAAACTTTGTGTAAAACTCATAAAAATTCAGTAAATTTGGAACAAATTTGCAACTTTAAATTCGATTTTTTAGTATGCAGGTTTGTAGCCCATTAAATTTTAGTAATAGTAAACTGAAAGTTTCAATTTACTAAAAACCGCGTTGATTTTTGCCAATTATAAAGAAATTTTCGAACATACTTTGTATGGAAAAACTGCGTGACACCGTCAACAAGAAAAATTGCAAAAATGGACGCGATTTTTTTGCAACTTTAAACTTGCATATTGTTACACTAAAATTTGATGGGCTACAAAACTGCATACTCAAAATCCTTCTAGAAAATCTAGTTGAAAATTTGTATGCAAGTTTATTAAATGATGATCCTGAGTTTTGCACAAGGTTTAGAAGTTTTATTTTTATAGCTTTGTTGTATGATAAACTACATTTTTGTAAAAAATTTGAGAAAAAATAACATAAAAAACTTTCCAAACACTACGAAAAATTCTCTATACGAAGGCTTTAGGGATACACGGTACTTGTTCAATTAGCATTTGTCTTACCCTAATTTGTAACATGTCTTCTTCATGTCTTTTCTTCTTCATTTTGTGGAAATTTTATCTCGTCCCTTTTTGCTGCAATAATTAGTTTGGAAATGTGATGCAGGGATCGAGATATTGTCGATTGGCTCATTGATAAGGTATAATTATTTCCAACACATTTCTGATATGAACCGTGTGCAATAAATATATAGACGCGAGGAAACGAAGAGTGAACGGAACGGTGGACTTTTGAGTATCAAGCGGTTCCAATTCACGTATCAGATCCTGGCAGAGATTTTTGGGAAAAGGAAAGTTTCTTATGAAGACCGCCTCTGGAATAGCAAACGGATCGCTATCATCGCGCAACGCTCTCAAAATTCTTCTACGTTCCAGATTTAACTCTCGTTTTGCTAAAATAGCAGCGCACACATGCAGCATTTTCAGATAGAAATGTTTAAAAAGAGAAAAAATCAAATCCAAAAAATTTCGTTTCGTTTATATTAACATTTTAATTTGTGACCTGATGGTTTGATGCTCACAATTTTTCTCTCAAATGTGATGGTTTGAGCTTATGAGCTTTTGTAAGAATACGAAGATACGCCAATTGTGATAAGACTCTCAATTGTGACTGAGGTGAATTTTGTGATCTCGTTAAAATAAGGCTGTAAGTCTAATTGTACTAATTTTAAATAAAGAATAAAGAATGAAAGAATGAATATTGTACATTTTCTTTGACCACTCGGGAAAAATATTTAAAATTTTGTCTAATTTTAGCAAATTCAAATGATGAAATGCTGCTTATATATCCATGTTATGTATTTTCTTAGTGATTTTACTTAATTTCCCCGTATTTTTTATACAGTAAATTACCACCACTTCCGTGTCACTGAAATTTTATAAAATGGTATACTTTTAAAATACATTATAGAAATATTTTTAAACGTTTTCGATTTTGAAATTTATGGGTCGATTATCGATAGCAATCGAACTTCAGTTGCGTTGCTAGTTGCCAAAACGATATTACAGATGGCAATTGGCAAGTTTCAACTGCGAACACTGATTTCAAATTATTTCCTTTATCAACTGAAGCTTCTCTTTTAAAGCTACCGACACACCAAGTTTTCCAAAGTAAAATCATTGCTGTGGCACTTCCTTCTGCGAAAAATTGAAGAGGTGCGCAAGCTTTTATCAGCGGAGGTATTGAAGTTGAACGAAGTGGTTCATCTGTTTATTAACCAATTATCTTACAGCTTCTTTTGGAAGTCCTCAATATGCTTTGAAAATGAACACAAAACGATAATAAAAGAAAAACCTTGAAAGCATTAACTTTTGCTTACAGTGCACGCGGTAGCTCTAGAGGATTGGAATTATCCTTTAAATGTCGCCTGATTTAGTCCGCGTTCATGCACTTCTCTTCCTCTTAAACAAATAATTGTGATGGATTTAGCTTTATTGCTGTCGTTTTCTTTAAAACTCTTCATTTTAATAATTTAATTTTATTCGCACAGCTTGTTTACAGCCGCTTGCGGGTTATTGGATTGTCAAATTTCAATTATAGATAACACTACAGCAACTGGCGATAGTTGCCATTCGTAATACAATGTTTTTTCCAGTTGCGTTGGCAGCTGGCAACCGAACCGTGGTTACGTTGCTATCCATAATCGATCCATTACGTAAACTATTCGGGACAGTTCAAATCTTCATACAGTTTAATTTGTTTTCAAAAATATTAATAGCATTTTTGGTAGCATGCTTCCAATGTATCAAAAAATTAGATGTACAATATATTGTACAAATGCACGGAAAGGGTTAAAAGCCCAGCTAAGAACCATTTGGCACACGTTTTTCAAAAGTAATACAACTCAAAATTACACGTTGGTCAGAAAATGCGAAAAGAGAGCACACTCACACAAACGCATAAATTGCCCATATTTCACCACAGATACAACAATAATACTTATATAGACATATATGTCAAAATATCGCTAAATATATCACTAAAAACTTATATATTTTATCTATTAAAAAGTAAACAATTTTGGTGTGCTCAATGCAAACTTCACCTACTGATGTGCGGTATTGCCACTCTCTAGCACTCCGAATGAATACAATTACCCAACGTCTACACCTACCAATTATTTCCGTCTGCCTTTAAGAATGTGTGTGCTCCTAGGAACCCCTTGGGAAAATGGCCAAAAATCAAAATTTTTACTTGCGTCCACAGTATTTTTGTGTAGAATTCCTTTCTGCGTAGGCGGCCTTGGGTAGCAGGAGGTGAGGGAACGTTATCACTGGCATATGAGAAAACCACTATGTCCACCTCAACAACGACCGTATAAAATTTAGTTTTCTTTGGTTAAAATGTCATTTTGCTTAGCAATTGCAACATCGCACAAGCTATTTGTCGGAGTAATATGCCCTGGTATGTATTCATCAATGGTTGAAAGCACACGCGTTTCTACCTGTAGTTTTCAGCTGTAAATAGAATTTTTTTCAATTATTTCTATAACAGCATCTTTTTTATTTATTTGTTTATAGCAACTGTTTAATGTATTTTTGTTATCGTAAGTATTATTTATAAAGACAAATCAAAACCATAAAATATGTGACCAGATTTAAATAATAAAATGATCACGTTTATGAAATATTTATATATGTATATTAGCGTGTGCCGAAAATCCGCTTTTTTAGAATTTTAATTGGTAATAGCAAAAATATGATTCATTATGCTTTAAAAAAAATCTGTGTGAAATTTCGAATTTTTTGCTCAAAAAATAAAAATTAATAAATAATACTTTTTAACTAAAATAGTTAATACTTTTTTACTAAAACTGCAAATATCTTCGAAAGTATTAGTCCTACATAATTTGGTATATGGACCTTTTTTGTAAAGAACCGAAGTTAGCTAAAAAAAAAATTTTTTTAGTACTTGAACTTTGGTGGACATGGGCGAGCCTAGGATATTGACCAAAATTTTTCACATTTCACACAGATTTATTTTAGAACATAATGAACCATATTTTTGCTATTACCAATCAAAATTCAAAAAAAGCGGATTTTCGGCCCACGCTAATGTATATGCATGTGTACAAAAATATGAACCTAAATAAGTGTGTCTGTATAGGCCGTTTACAATTTAAAGCAGACACTCGTTTTTATGCATAATAAATTGCTGTATTCGTATTACAAATATCAAATGTAGGTTTTCATTTTCGGCGTACTCTTGTCCCAAATTACTTCTGCGAAAGCATATCTTATGTCTATTTTTCCTCTATGTTTATTTAAAACTATCTGATGAACATATATTACTTATGGGAGGGTAACTCCATAATATAGCTAAGAAAATTTATATTTATAATATTGATTTGTTGTATCCTTAGTTATTAAGAGAAACATAGCAAAAATCATACAACTTGAAATAGAAATTTCTTAAATGAGTTATTCCCCCCAGTCGTTTTTTATGCTTAGCGCAGAATGCGTCTCCGTCGTACTTTCGTCAATGCTATGCAGAGAATCACAATCATTAATAAATTCAACATGTGTGAACGGGAAGTGGCCTTTTTTGCCTTTAAGTTCTCCCTCCCACTGACCGTTTATGTTCGTTTTTGTTACTCTAATTACATCGCCAATCTCCAGTTTCAACGCTGTTTTGTCATATGCATTGGGTACACGTGCCTGTTTCACGCGTGCGTACGCTGGTAATTTGCGCTGGAAAATTAAAAAAAAAACATATAAAATTAAGTTGATATAATTATACTGTTGATAACTTACATTCAGGTCGGATTTTTTGAGCGAATTGCTCAATTGGTGACAATTCGTAGTAGAATGTTCTGTGGCATCACTTTTGCAAGTACCGCTTGTCAGCAATGGCGAACGAAGACTATTGCTAGGTCCCAAAGCATTACCGCAATCGCTTACACCGGACAAGGGTCGATCAATGCAGTTGTCATCTGAATTTCCTTCGCACTAAAGGAATATACAGTACAATTCAAAATTTGATTAAAAAGTATAAAAAATTAAGCCACACATCGGAAGTGAAAATTCTCTCGATTTATTTCTTAGTCGCTTCAAACAGAAGTACTTTGTATATCTATTTGAATGACTACGCTACATGTGAATTTTGTATTGGTTTGAGATAATAGCAATTGAACTACACTGCAAGAGGGCTGGCTACCAGTATTTGTATTTGATGATACCAATTCATACAAAATAATAAATTACGAATCACATATTTTATTCATATTATAGAAATGGTACAGTTTTTTTTTGTAACTGAAATTAATATATGCAAATCTAATTTCTTTAAATACCTGACTGAATAGCTTTAAAACATACTGCTGTCGATTCTTTTAGGAGATCATTAACTGATTGTTATTTACAGTGAACCACAAAAGTCTAGGCGCAGAGAATTGTTCACAATGTATGAAAGTTTATTTTTTTTTCGCTTGCTCATACAAAAAAAACCTCAAAATACAATTTCTAAACTTTATGAAAAACTAAGGAAAATTTAATACATTTTCAAATTTACCCGTTGATTTCTGACAAATTTTTTGCTATTACTGCCGGGACCCGTACTAAATATGTGCCGAGCCCTTCCTCCAACATAATTTTTAGACGAATTTACAACGTTCTACAACAACATAACAGATGCTTTTGAAAAATAAGTAGTCTTGCATACCTTTATTAACGTATGGAGTTTGATTTTTTTTTATTAAAAAACTTCCACTAAAGAGGAAATTGTTTTTGCTTTACTTTTGTACAGATCAAAAATGAGTAAGATAGTTTTTATTGTTAATGAGAATGTAATGTGATAGGTAAAAACGCTTTTCCAAATTGTGAATATTGAATAACTAAATTTATGAACTTAGCAATACTCAAAATAACTGAGGCAATAAGGTCCTCATCAAGTTGCTAGCCGGCAGCACCTGGGTCAAAGACAAAGAAACGTTTTTGACAACGTACGTACAAGGCAAATGGCCGGCATGCCAGAACACGGCACTCTGGACCGCGACTGGATACCTTCTGATGTCGGCACATTACCACCTTCACGACGTTGCTTCCCATCAATGAGCAGAACACAATGCTCTGTAAGCAGTTCCTATTATTATTACTGCTTGCAGCAGAGCCCAAGTTAGGAGGCATTTGTACTGATGGACGAAGTCCAAAGGTTCATAAAACAACCTCTGAACCCGACAGCATACCGACAGGGAGTCGGTCTCGAATTACATCGACTCCCGACCTGTGAATGCCGTTTCGAATACACAACCAGCCAGCGCACAGTGGTTCCAAATAAACAGAAAACGGAAAAAAAGCAATATCTCGGTTAGCCCAATAAAGCTTAAAATTGGCATGCTGAAACTTAATGTACCATTCCATAGGAATTAAAAAAATACATAAAAAATTGGAAAACCAAAATGGCTGATCAAAATTTCCATAAAAAAGTCTATCTAAAACAAGTAAGAAATTTTTCAGTTGAATTACATTTTATAATCGTTCTATATGTAAATCCTGCATTAAAACTGATATTCCAGTTTTCAACCTATTATGTCCAATGGGTATCTTTCCGTAACAGTTACGGGGAAAACAATAAAACTAAAATTCTAATTAAATTTTTTTTTTCTGTTATTCATCTCTTTTTTGAGCAAGATCTTTACATCTTCACTCAAAATAAGAAATTTGTTTGTGGTGTTGCTCGCAACTTGCTAGTGTATAGGTCGAATGCAGCATCATATGCATAACATCTATAACACCTTCACTAAGGCACCTACAGAAAATGCACAATTCTACAGCATTTGCTTACCATGCAATAATACCTTATGCACGAGTGATGGCATATTGTACCATCCTTAACTCGCTACTAACATTTCTGCTGTGTGATACGCATAGTTGCGAAATTTGTAACTATATATAGGTTCTGCTTCCTGTTATTGCTTCCGCATTGCACATTTAGTGATATTTCAATTAAAAAATTTCTTTAAGCCTGCCTTGATAACCCTAATGAAAGTTGCTGAGAAGATAATCCACACGGCTGAGACGTTGGGCTTGTTCGAGTTGCAATCACAACCGCAGTGTTGCGCGACTTATTAAAGTATCACGTTCTGTGTGAATTCTAGCAATGTATTATCAGTTGGGCAGTTGCAACAATGTTGCCTTTTTTCATCAGTACGCCAGTATTGCCGCTTTTATTACGTGCCTCGAACGGGCCCGTTTTTTTTTTTTTGTTTTAACGAGGAAGCATCGAAAGCCTGTTAGTCAGTGTTGGACTTTAACCCGAACTAAACCTCCTACCGTCCAGTACCGATCCCCCAGGTACTACCGTTAAGTATTTAGTCGGGAGGTGGGTTGAGCACTGAGCTCTAAGTCGCATATACTTGGCACCGCCCAATGTTAGTATGTTCTTATATACCACCCCATGTCGGACCTGTTCGCCCCTTCCCCCCTCATTTGTTAATGTCCTCTCAAGCGTCCGTTTCTACGTATGGCGTTGTTGTTGTTGTGGTAGCGGTTACCAAGCCCCGCTCGGGTCGGTTCATCCGTCAACGTTGTCGTCTGTTTCAGCTAATGGGAGACCCAGTAAGTTTGCAACTTCCACAGGGTCTGTCCATAAGGACAGGGGCGTCAGCTGGGTGGGGTTCTCAGGGCATGTGAAGTGGTGCCGAGAGTCATGTGGCGACTCTCCACATGCCGGGCATTGGTTGGGCACAACCTCATTAATTCTGCTCAGGTATGAGTTGAGCCTGCTGCAATAGCTAGAGAGAAGTTGGGATATTGTGGTGCAGGTCTCCCCAGGAAGATAAAGTTCTGTCCCGTCCACGTCCGGTGGTTGTGTGCCTAGAACGGCATTCACAGGGCGGGAGTCTACATAACTCGAGACTGTTTCCCTGTGAATGCCGCTCAGGGCCTGTCGGTAGGATGACGCGTCCAGAGGTTGTTTAATGAACCTCTGGACTTCGTCCGTCAGTTCGTAAAGATGCCTCCTGACGTGGCTTGGCTAGGGCTTTTCTGCAAGCAGCTGTTTGCTGGGAGCTGTAGCTTCATCCACTGCGTCCTGCTAGTCCCCGGCGACCACACGGGCGCTGCATAGTTTAGAACCGGCCGGCCAATTGCCTTGTATGTTGCCAACGTTTCTTCATCTTTGGCCCAAGTGCTGCCGGCCAGCGACTTGAGGACATTGTTGCGGCTCTGTACCCTCCATTAAAGTACAGACTGTCGAAGGTAACTCCGAGAATTTTCGGGTTATTCACCGGTATTGTTATTCCATCAACGTGAATACCCAATAGCAGTCGGACCTCCTTCGTCGAGGTGGTGAATAGGGTTGCCGAGGATTTCACAGTGGATAGGGCAAGGCTCCTTGCAGTGAAGAAGCGAGAAATTTCGGCGAGATAACCCTTTACTTTCGAGCACAGGTCATCAATTCCATTCCCGTCAGCATAAGAGGCAATATTGACAACCTCTGGTGGCTGAGGATGCTTAGAAATGTAATAATTAAACAGTAGTGGGGACAGGACACCACCCTGTGGTACCTCCTGTTTAATTTTACGTGCCTTGCTGGTTTTGTCTCTGAAAATTACTGACGAACGTCGACCACTCAGGTAATTCGCCGACCACCGTTTGAGTCCCTGTGGGAGAGAGGAGGCCTCTATGTCTTCTAGCAGCGTTGAATGACTGACAGTGTCGAACGCCTTGGACAGGTCCAACGCTACTAGAATAGTTCTCTCACAGAGGCGGTTTCTGTTAAGGCCACGAGTTATCTGGGTGTTTATGGCGTTAAGTGCTGTTGTTGTGCTATGCACTTTACGGAACCCATGCTGATGCTTCGCTGTGGTCAGGTGGTTCGTGAAATATGGGTAGCAAGGCGTCAAGTGTCCTCGCTACCGGGGAAAGGAGGGTTATCGGGCGATAAGACTCTTTTTTGTTGGCTGGTTTCCCCGGTTTGAGCAGTGGGACCACTCTCCCCATCTTTCATATGTCCGGAATGACGAGAGTGGCCATAGACAAGTTGAAGACCTCCGTTAGGTACGCTACTCCCGCAGGACCCAAATTTAACAGCATCAACATGCATATTCCGTCGGGTCCAATGGCTTTGGAGGCTTTCGCCTTCCCGATGGCTACCCTTACCTCACCGCTGGTGAAAACAAGAGGCGCACTAAGTTTTGGCATTTTGTGCGGCCTTCTGGTCACTCGACGTTTGGCTTTATCCACCGGAGGATGCAGAATAAACTGCCGGCTAAAATAGCTCGCGCGTCGCTCCGAGTCGGACGAAGCGTAGTCACCAAAGTCTATTTCGACTCTGTCGTCACGCTTCGTCGGGTTGGACAACGACCGCACGGTTGACTAAAGCTTACTCACACCAGAGGCGAAGTGGCAGGTCTTCAGATGCTCTTCCCATTTCTTCCGCCTAACCGGATAGCAATACCCTGACATTCTACGATGGTATCCCTGCGGTCGATGTCTGCTTCAATAAGACGATACTGCAAGGTGTGGTGCGTGATGAACGCTAAGCCTCCACCATTGTCTCGCTCGCGATCTCGACGGTGCACGTTACATCCGGCGCAATTCAACAGGGTTGAATTGCCGTGCAGCTTCTTCTCTTGGACCTCAGCTATTAATATTCCATGCCTTCCCATAAAGACAGTTATCTCCTCGATCTTGACCTGAAGTCCGTTACTGTAGAATTGTAGCACCTTTGTGTGCCTTGGGAGACCAATTGTAATGTGTGGTATTAGGGAGTTGTGTTGCCTGCCGGCGCCCTGCTGTACGTGCTGCAAAAGGGGGTGCTGCCTTCTGGTGGTGGTTGGCGGCGTCGCGGGGGAGGGATGCGACTGGGCAGCACAGNCCTGAAGTCCGTTACTGTAGAATTGTAGCACCTTTGTGTGCCTTGGGAGACCAATTGTAATGTGTGGTATTAGGGAGTTGTGTTGCCTGCCGGCGCCCTGCTGTACGTGCTGCAAAAGGGGGTGCTGCCT